AAAGCAGGGCAGGTGTGGGTTGTGTGAGAAATTGCTTCTCTCCAGCACAGCAGAGAGGAAAARGCTGCTGCATCGTCAGGGCAGAGCGTGGACTGTGCTCCTGCTATTTAGGTCATGCTGTGTGTGCTTTGAATGATTGGCCATGAGTCCATCGTGCTGGCATCTCGTGCTAATCGTTAAGGAATTCTCCTTCTGTTTGTTGTTGAGCCAGTAAATGTATTGAACCACAGGTAATGAGGGGCTGAGTGGCAATCATTCATTTACTGCCTCAATATCTTCTGTTTGCTTTTACCCAAAGCTGAATGGTCGATTTTGTCCTCATTAGTTGCCAGAAACCTGTTGACTAAAAGGGTTTTTTAGCTCTAAGTAGTATAAGCAGGTAGTGGAGGTATGTAACAGGATTCTTGCCCTGAGAAATGCAAGTTTGGTAATAATGAGAACCTTGTTCCATGGTTTGTGTCCTGCCCTGCACCCTTTYCCTCCCTTCAAGCCTCAGGATATTTTCATTATAGTTTCATGTACACTCTTGCCCTTTGGGTAGTGGTTCCAAATCTGTTGCCAACCCACAGCTTAAYCAGAAATGGTGCCTGCATGTGCATTTCACAAACTCTGATTTGAGATKCTGAGATATAATCGATGTCTTACACACAGGAGGTGTTCCATACTGATAAATTTTGAGATAAAACATGTGAGAATCACTGCTAAAACAATGTTTCCTCTTTCAGATGAGAGAAAAAGATCCAGTGAAAGGAATGTCAGCTGCAGATGACTAATATGACTCCTTCCTTGTGCACTGTAGGTATCAAGAGATTTGACAAAACTCTCTATTGCTCTATTTAGTTTTAAACCCCCARCATTTATGTGAGAAATGATCCTGTTCAGAGCTTCTGACAGGCAAATCTGTGGTATTGATTGTTTTTATAGTGTACCCGTTTCCCTGACAGGTTGATGAGTGAGTTTTACTGCTTCGTTTCAGAACTATTCTAAAGAAATGTCTGAGTGAAAAGTGTAAGAAAAATGTGTTAGAATATTCTGTAGATTATACTGCTATTCTTATTTCTGTAATGCATGTGTTACTTTCTATGACTTGCAGAGAAACTTTTGTGAGCCTCAAAAGAAGTAAGTCATGCAAATGCTTAGAATACAGTTGGAAATTGAACATTCCAACTATATTTTCAAGGAATTTATTTTTTCCATTACTTTTTAACAGTATTTGCTAATGGTCCAAGGCTTGGAGTAACATTTGGGCATTGCAGGAGAAGCAGCAATGACAGTTTTAAAGCTTTTGACTTACTTTAGTTTTATTTTGTTGATGTCATCAGTTTGGTTTTGATGACTTTTTCTTAGACACTGCAAAAAATGTGCCATAGTATTAGAGAAGGAAGAAGGCAAGGAGAAAGAAGGGATTGTCCATTTATACTGGGAAGAACAGGTTATTAGGGCTGTAAAATGCCATTCTAGTAATCCTTGGAAGGAATGGGGTGGGGCACAACCACATCCTCCTGGAGKACTGACTATTTCCATCTGTTTGCCCTCTGTTATCTGCTGGTTGCTTGGTGGTAAACGGGACACACAAGGCAAGGGAGTGTCTGAGAGGGTATCTTCTCTTAGATATATTTTWATTTTTGAATGCAGCTTCCACCACTTGATTTTCTCCTTTCCCGTTTCCTCGGGGTTAGTGTTGCAGTATAACGATGCATTGTCAGCCTGCTGACAGCGTGACTCCCCTTTGCTCTCAGRAGGTCGTCTGACACTTCCCTTGGCACACTGCTCTTCCAAAGCCATCCTGAAACCTTTCCCTGTTGTCTCTCTGTGTTTCAGTTTGCAAGACAGTCGTCAGGAAGGCCCAGGGAATCCACACCCTTGACTGACGGACCATCTCTGGATCAAGCCTTTCTCTGTCCAACCGGCAGGCGATTTTAAACCTCCCATAGCTAATTCTAGATGCCCCTTAATATTGTGAGCAAATAGACAGTCTGGTACTAAGCACTCCAATGTTAGCACGTGCATCCCGAGGAGTTTCCTCCTCGGAGCCGTGTGACTTAGAGATCGCTGTATTTACGACTCCTCCCTCCTCTTTTTTTCATTGTGTTCAGACCAATTTCCATGTGGCCCTGTTTGATTTCCAAGTGACATTTTTAGCTGAAATAGTCTTGTGATGTGGTGACTTAGAAATTTTTTTGTTTTGTTTTGTTATTTTGGTTTTTTTTTTTCCAAGTGGGATAAACTGCCACCTTTSTGTCTGCCCAGCCCTTCCCCATCCTTTGAATGTCTGTTTGGAGGGGGAAACTAGTCCATATTTAGAAGTGCAAAACTCGTCCACAAAATATTCTGCTCTCACCCTTGCTCCCAGAGGGAGATATTTAATAACAAGTAATCTGAGTACAAAATGAGGAGCAGTCAGAGAGTTCTTGGTTTGTGATGAGTTGGGATTTGTGGCTTCTGCAGGGCATTACTTTGTTCTGTCTTGACATACATGAATTAAAGATTGCCCAGAAGCTGCAATCAGCAGCCCCATGCTGGGGCCTTCAGCACTTACCTGTTGAGTTTCARTTTCCAGGATCTCTCTGGCCCATGTAGCTCTGTTGTCCTCCAGCTGTGTGTGTCACTCTTACAAAATCTTTCTTGGCATATGTTGCAACTTCCTGGTTCTTTATTGACTAAGACTTCCCATAAGTTACAAAGCTGAAATAGTTTTGACAAATAATAACAATGTGATTCTCCCTGGACAAATTGGGATGTTGCAAAGGCTGGTGTACAAGTGAGGTCTTGGCATCTGGTTGCATCCAGGTGCCCAGGGCGGCAGTTCTGCTCAGCAATAATATTTTTCCCATTGCAAGACTGACTAAARTATCTCCTTTTGTGCTGTGAAAAAAGCAACTTATAAAGAGCTGCAGTTTTCTAGGATATCTGGTGGTGGTTATAAATCACAAAGGATATTGTTAATATAAAGAGCTCTCGTTATTTAATGGACTCAGATACTTACTGTAACTATCCTTATGTTGGTATCAGCTTTAGACAATCAACTAAGCAGAACAGAATCAAAGAAATGCTGCTTTCTTCAATACATATGAGAAAAAAAACCCTATTTCTTTGCTTATCCCTGAGGCCCAATGTTTGATTTTCTTCCCCTTAGTAGTAATAACTTTATTTTCCACTTCTGTATTTGGCAGCACTAACATGAAACCCTGAATGCCAAACAGTCGTGGGTGTATCACCACTTTTGAGGAGTCTTTTTAGCACTCTATAATACACTGACTCCTCCAGCCCTTCCCACTCCTGCTCGCAGGAGATCCTGGAATGATCCCATGCCATGCTGAGCAAGGCTGTGCTGGGATCAGAGCTGTTCTCAGTGTGAGGAAAGATGGAAATGCTCTGGAGGGAGAGGATGGTGTTTGGTTTCTGGGGAGGGGGCAGTTTATCCCTTTATTTTTAGTTTGTTATTTTGCCTTACTCATGTCTAAGTGCAATAAGCTCTGAATTGTACCAGTAACTCTGGCAGGCTCTTCTCAGTGACCTCAGACGGTTCTGYGGGGTTGGGGTGGGGTTTGAGGGGTTTTAGCAATCTCACCAGGCAGAAGTAAAACAAGTTTATTGTAAAATAGGTAAAGAAACTAAATTTTAATCTTTGAGGCTATTTGGGACCAGGATATTTCATGACATGTTGTGTAGCTGTTTCAGAAGTATTCTAGGAGTGTAGGCCCCAGTTAGAGTTCTTTGAGTTGGAAGTATTTTTAACAGAGAATTTATGCACTGACTTCTGTTCGTGTTCATTGGTTACGTTTCGAGGGATTCTTACACTTGAGGGCAACCTGAGAATACACATAGCACACTTGTTCTTTCCGTTTGTGTTATCCAAGAGGCTTTCCATCTGATGACACTAATCGCCGTGGAAGCAGATTGTAACATTCCACCATTGCAATCCTTTTTTGATCCTCTGATTTCAGAGTAAGAGCTTTTACACAAAGCTTTCCTGATTAGTGGAAAAACTTGGAGGAGGGGGGGGTGAACYGCAGGAACTTGAGCCTGAATACTCCCCCCTGGCTCCTTGCCCTTTGTTTTCTGTCCTTCCAATTTGATCCTAAGTGAAAGCATCCCTCAGCCTTTGGATAGACAAATCCTGTAAAGACCCTTCMGTCTCGATGCTTGGTTCCTGCTAGTGAGCATAGCAAAGATCACGCAGCGTTTCCCGTGCCGTATCTTCCATCAGCTTTGGCAAGAACCCCTGGACCTGCCGGCTCTCGGCGAGATCGGGTCCATCCA